GGACTCATAACGACGTACACAACGCGAGTAAAATACATTGTTTGTTTACATGAAATTCGAAGACGCGCTGCGTGACGACCACCGCCCTTTAATCTAGGTGATATGTTCTGTTATTGGAAGAACCATGTGATAATTTCAGCAACGAATCGAATAGATGGAAAAACGACCCTAGTTGTGATATATCCTAGGTCAGAGAATGATTCGACCAATGAATTCCAACTACCATGCGTCCTCTGGTGCCACTGCAAAAAAAAACAACATCGGAAAACATGATTTATTTGCACCTACCATCATAAAATACACAACCAACGGTCATATACATCATACACAATGCTGTCTCATTTAAGCTAGATGAGGTCGTAAAATTAAAACTTGGTCATAAAGTGAGAACGCCAATGCACCTGTTTACTCTTATCAAATTGGAGATAAATGGGGAAATGGTTTCAATTTGTTAAACACAAGATCACATGTTTTGGTTTAATCGATTTGCAGCCAGTTTGAAATTATTGTTTTCTCCTGGGAATTATTTACATGATAATTACAATTTACCGATTTTTCTAGACAATCTTCCGGGCTGTTATAAATTAATTTTCTGGTATATATAGGTTTACCAACACGAATAATTAAATCAGCCAGATCTTTAAGGCATTGTTTGTCTTGTATGTGGTTGTTGCAATGCGTATGGAATATGTTTTCTGCTCTTTGAACATTCACGTACATGTTCCATAGAGTAGCCGTGTGACGTCACTGAGAGAAAATTATAGATCAGGATCACATATGTATATTTCTGTTCCAATATCACTCATTCGATATAGATCTGTGACCACGTGATACCATGAATCAACTGCTCACAGATTATTACATTGTTTCGGCGAGAAAATGCTTATTTATCGAAACGAGTTGTTTTGAACTTTCTGAATTTAGAAATGGAGAATTCTGAAATAATAACCAGTCCAAACTCACATCTGAGAAACACGCCTTAGTTGTGTATTTGTTACAATAAATTAAAAGTGAATTAGCAATAGACCGTAGTTATGGATCACAGTAAATACACGGTGCATCAAAAGAAGTAAGCATATCTCTCAAATATCTGCTCCACATGGAGTTAGAAAGTAATTTCTCTATCTGTATATGAATTCTATATTTTAACAAAAAATGTAAAATATCTTTTCAATATCATTTTAATTTAAGCAGATTAATAAATGAATGTTTGTACGTGTCGACTAATTTGAACCATCGTGAAATTGTTGTTTTTGTTAACAGGGAAAACGTCTTAGCTCTCACAATGTTTTTTGAAGAATTGAATTTTGAGACAGTGGACCAGCTTCCAGAAACTACTATAATTGATCTACTCGGTAAGTAAAATTTTCGACGTTGACTTTGTTACATGTCAGCAGATGTCTAACATACTTAAAGGGCGGTGGTCGTCGCGCCGCGTCCTGTTCGATATGGGAACCATACAAATACACTAGTACACAGCGCGTGTAAAAACATTGTTTAATTACATGAAATCGAACACGCGCTGCATGACTACCACTACCCTTTAATGATGTTATTTGAGTCAATATGTTGACAGGTCAAACATTGTCAAATATTCTATAAACTGACCTATCGAGCGGTATATATCGGTGGGTGCATAGGTAACCTTTCTTTGATCTTCCCTACAATGTTTCAAAGCTTCGGATGTGTAATACACTAACATACCTTACAGGTATTATTGGAGGCAATATGGGACTCTTCCTTGGTGCTAGCTTCCTCACGCTGTTACAGATTGTCGAGTATTTACTAGACGAGTGTGTTCACTGTTGTAAGCGTGCTGGTCGACGGAAATCCAGTCGAAATAGAACCAAGAAACAGCGACTTGATGACCGAGAAGTTCATGCTCCTTTATCTCTACCAGAACGTCCAAGAACCCGTATGTTCATGAACACGACGGTCTAGCAGAATGCATGCGCGAGATGTCTTTTCAAAACAAACTGCATTCAAAAACGTTTATTCGTCAACGAATACTGCTACTAATGAACGTACAATACATAAATAAATGGTACAGTAACATACCATGTTCACAAAAGCAGTATACCTCTTATAAAAAATAGTTCCTACACAACATTAAGATAACACAGTTATATGAGAATACGAGTTCGTGCGTTAACAGTACCAAAGTTCGTATTTATAGGCCGTCGAAGCACTGTGACGTCATATGTTTACATTTTTGCCAATCACCACACGAATACGCGATAAGAAATGTCGTTCACTGATCAGAACTAGAACTAGCTCATAAGCTGTTGTGACAGCGTTGCGTACAAGTTGTAACATTAAAAGGAATACATATATATAAATTTCAAAAACCTGAACATTCGTGAACAGCAGCACTGTTATTTTATCTTCGGGTGCGAACAAGAGGTTTTTGCCCAGCAGTCAATGCGAACGCGCTCGTGCGCAAAACATGAAGAAGTACGACGGTCTATACGAGATCTCGTACAATAATGGTATAGTCTTGCATTCGATGTTTTGCTTATATCCAATTGTAGATTGTTGCGGTTATAACTTTCCAGGAAAAGATGGGTAGTTATATGAGCAACAAGTAGACATATTTAACATCATAACTGAATTACATAACTGATTTGTTTTACTATTATTAAGTATGTTATTCGATTCAAAAAGCACGTACGTACAGAGTTCATATTTAAAAACAAAAAAAACAAAATGGCTTCCAGGAAAGTTGTTGTTAATTTATTTGAACAAAACTATGACAACGAATACTTTGCAATTTCCGTGACAGTGGTAATCGTGCTAGTTGTTGGTAATTGTATATGACACAAAATTTATCATTTTGACAAAGGGGTAGGTTTTATCCCGGATTTGTAGCAGTTTTGAATGAAATTTGGCGAAACATTGCTGGCCCTAGCGGTGAACAACCCGTAAGCGCACCACCTAGACTGGATTTTATGCGCGCGAATTGAGGACAGCGTTCGTCAAAACTGCAATTTGCACTAAACTAATATCAATCTGCACTAACTATTTGCAATCTGCACTAACTACTTGCAATCTGAACTAACTACTTGCAATTGAATATATTGTTTAGATGTTAATTAGTTTATCGGTCTTAACACTTTGAAGAAGACTAGAGCGTAGAACTTTTACTTGTCACAGTTGGTCTTACCTAATATACAAACACGATTGTGTTTATTTACACTTTTCACTGACCTGTAGTACGCATCCTACGCATCACTGTATCATACAATATATGATTTGACACTAATATTAATGTATTATGATGACGTAACGGTTCATTAGTTTTCACATCGTCGAACATTAGACCATTGACAGTTACAACTCAGTAATATCCATTATTCACAACTTTTAATTTTAAATTTAAAAATCCAACCGTAAATAAATGTCAGTTTAAATAATATCCCACGAGAGACATAGACAGAAATGCTGTCTACGACGACGGTGCGGATAGACAGATGTGTCCTAATTAATAATGGGCCTAGACAAAATACACTATTATTCAGTCTCGCGTGTGCCAGCAGATTACACCAGCTGTCCAGTTTAATTTATTGCAAATTGAGAACACTAAAATTATTTCCTCTGTGAGCCATAAGGGAAGGAATTCGGTTTATGGCAATATCTCATAGGATGTAGACAAAAACGGTGTCGTAATTATCGGTAAAATAATCGTCTTGTATTGCGAATTTAAAATTTAGAAAATCGTGGGGAAAATGGATATATACCCCGAGTAATGATGTTTGGAAAATAGTACGCACATCGATTATACATCAAAATGAGTCACATTCAAATGGTTTCTCTTTGGAAGCTGAAGTATAAATCATACTATATACATCCAGGATCTGAATCATACCGTTATATCAACGAGCAAGATGCTCTCTGAGAAACTCAGTTTACTTGTGAATGGTGGGTGTGAACCCAGAGACTCACAGCAGGATGGGCCACTTGTCAGTAACGTTTGCTGGACACAACTATCTATAATCGGATTTCCAAAGTTGAGACAGGTGTATACTAAAACTTGCATGTTTATGATAGGAAATGATTATTACCATTACCATGTCTCCAGACAAAAACAAAGCAAAAAAAGTTTTGTACGAACTGTGTATTATGTTATCCAAATTAGTGAATCAGAACTTGAAACAAATAATCATTTAAATCAAATAGCATATGCAATTTATTTCACAATTTCTCCAATTTAGCGTGTCTATGAATCTAACAAATGTTTAGTGAATCAATGCTTTATTGTGTTACTTATCATGATTACACAATGCGTCATTGTATTCCTTGTTTTAAGTGTGAATGTAACAATCCTTTATTGTGTTTCTCATTCTAATGAGTTTTCAATGAAAAATGTTTAATTGTATTCTTTTTTTTACTAATTGTTCAACAAAACAATGCTTTATTGTGTTTACAGTGTATTTAGTATTTACGAAATTGTTATAAATTGAATATAGAACTTGAGTCCATTTAAAGTTTCAGGGTACACGAATAGGGACTCTGCTGCTGGGCCAGTCCATTAGTACCTTCCATGGTCAGTCAAAGGTCACAATCCTTAATAATTAACGCTTTGTAATTATTTAACAATATAATTTTAAAAAGAAAAGAATGTCTCATAAAAATTACCTTTTTTTTGCTCATGACACTAATAGTATACATACAACTGTTCGTTCAAACAATCACCCGTCTACGGACTCACCAACTCACAACACTGATTTGTACAACTAGTTTGCTACGTGGAGTCCGACAATTATTCAAAACACTATGCAGCAGATTTCCGATCTTATGTTTAATGTTTTGATTGAAAGTAATCATTTTTTCCAGGAACCAAATGGTATTGTTCAAATACATCATTTAATGTATTAAAATATACTCAATTTTAAAGATCCGTATAGACATTTACGTTATGAGTAATATAAATGGCCCTTATGCTGTACTACATTATGGTGGTTCATTGGTCCTCAATTTAATAGTCAGAACATGATCAACTAAATAAACTCGTTCAAAATTCATTTATAATATTCTATACAATAACGTCCTGCCACAAAAAGAGTTTGCCCAATATATTAAGTTTGTAATAATGTTTTAAAGATAGAATATTAAAATATTTGAATTATTGAGCTTCGTAAATGCTTTAATCACATTTTGCACTTACGTACTAGTTGCATACTGCTAGCCAATGATATAGCTAGCTATATTCTTGTTTTGTTTTTATCATTATTATTTTACATTTATATCGATCGTAAAGAACAAATATCTCTCCTAGTTTAAATACCTGGAATGATTCTATTTAATGGATCCGAAGAATTTTTCTAGTTCTAGACCGTTTTTCATATATTTATTTATTTAATCGAAATATCTGAAAAGGAATTTAAGTCAGATATGTATTGGACTATCAGTAGTCGTTTAGATACTCGAAGAATATTTGTATATAAATTATATTTAATGTAGATACTAAGAACACCTTGTGAAAATGATAGATGTGTTTGTAAATAATTACAACATGAGATAGTTCTGTGGTTTCATAATGGAAACAGTGTAATAGTTGTGTAACTGACTGTGGTATATGTTAGCTTATTTCTCTCTATGACATATTCAGACAATTGTTTCTCATTTGTAAAAGTTTACAATTTCCATTATACATGTGTACTAATACATAGTATAGATTTGTTCATGCTTTTGTTTCTTCTATCAATGTTCAATATTGCAGAATATATTTCTTGTTTTTAACACTCTTAAATGATTGCTGCTTGTTATTATGATATTGGCATCGTGGATTCAATATATGTATATAGTTTTACCGAAACGTATTCGACATGTGGGTCTTCTCGTGACCTCGGTGCATCTGAGTGGAAACATACAAATACACTGATAATATGGTGTCCATGTACAAAGTTACTTCCATTGTTTAATTGAATAAATTAATTGTGTGTAATATGGAGATGTTCTCTTTGTTTTATTGCCATTTATTTAATGAAGTACGAGTAATTGCCTTAGCTGCATACT